TAATGGCTGATAAGAAAGTAATTTGTTTTTTGGAAAGGTCCTAACAGACCTCATAAACCCCCACTCTTACTTCCCCACCTTCACTCCCTATCCCCAAGAAATAAGAGCACTGACCTTCCCCATTCCCTGCTCAGTACAGAAGAAAGAGAAAGTAGATAAGAGCAGGGAAAAGATACTTTCTCTCCTGAGGACATAGTGACAGCAGACTTGGGAGCTCTGAGTAAGGAGAGAGGTGCCTCCATTTGGAAGCTCAGTCCAAAATGCTCTCTCTACCCCTGACAATACAGAAGACAAATTCATGTCCCTAGAAAATTGTGTCACTGCCACACTATACACAACAAGCCCCTATTAGAAACAGATGATGGAGCCTGGAGAACATCTCCTGTCCATTTCATGCCTTAATGCCTCTAGCTGAAGAGGAATATGAGAGAACATGATTAGCACTACAGGTAAATAACAGGCGAATCCTAATTATTTTTTAAAATTAAATTATTTTAAACAAATACTACAACTTAAACACACAGTAAGAAAAGAAAAAGAAACATTACAAAGTTAAATATTAAAAATATAATACAAAATAAGAAAAGAAAAACAAAAAGTATTGCCATGTGCACAGCAGAAACATAAGAGAGGATTCAAAATATACAGCAATAAATTTCTATTTTGAGAAAGTCTATATAAATATATACTACGCATTTTGTTCAGAGCTGTCCATCTTTGCTTCCTTCAATTTTTCTTTTGTTCTCTGTTGTGCACTTTTTACTTTGTTCTTTTTCCCCCTTCCACCTCCCCTCCCCCAAGAAGGTTATGAATGGGATGTCCCAGTGAAGACTTCTCAGTATAATTAAGGTAGTAAGTTCAGAAGGTAGGATAGGGTTAAGAATAGATTACTGTAAGATCTTCTTTTTTTAGTGCCAGATAATAGCAGTTAAAATTTGTCTAGTTGTTAAGCCCTGGCCTGCCTTCTGATCTTATCCAGATGCACCTTTTGTCCCAAATCCCGGAAAACCCTTAAATGTTCAAGTCCCCTTATTTCACTTTGACAGGGTTTTATTCAGATGTCTTTCTGGTCCCAACATTATATATTCAATCCCTGAGACCTCCCAAAAACAACTGTAAATTATCTTCCTAACTGCACATTTTCTATTGCTTCTTTGACATTATCTCAACGAACTAAGAAATATAGAGATGTATACTACATCCTTTGTCCTATGTTAGAGTCTGGCATGTGAGATTGTGAGCCGAATCAACAGACAGCTGTCGGGGAGGAGGAATTTTTTTATTATTTAAGCCAGCTTATGTGTCTATGTCCCTTGTCTCCCCTCATCAGAGCTTCCTGATGGAGGGACACCCAAATCTTGAGATTTGAAATAATAATGATTATAGCTATAATAAATTAACTTTCTGTTTCTCCTTGGATGCCTCTGTGTTTTGTTTTATTTTTAATTTGAGTGGCATCCCACACAGTTACAATAAGTTCAGCTACACACACACACACACACACACACACACACACACACACACATACACACACACACACATATCCCAATTCTAAAAATAAGCAAGACCCCTAGAAGGAACCATGGGAGCCAAGGAAACAGGGACAGAGATACTGAGAAAAAAAGTAACCCATGAGCAGATTCAATTCAAAATCAATCAGAAATAGGAGAGTATTGACTCAGAAAATATCAGAAGCACAGAGAAACCTTATAAGCATTCTCTTGGTACTGAGAACAGTTGGAGTGATGGAGACTGTCACCTGGACCAGAACTGGTCTCTAACCTGTTCGTGGCAGGAGTCAAACAAAGCAGACTACAGATAGGAGGGTCAGGAATCAAAGAGAAGTTTAATTTCAAAGAGAGGAAAATGGCTTGCAAGCAAGGACACATGTGTGGGAGCTCCACCCCTAGTGTAGAGCCCGAGGCAGTGTGGAGAGATCTCAATATTTATACCAACGGCTAAGGAGTGAGCTCTGACACTGACAAGGAAGTGTAAAAGTAATAATGTGATGAGTTTGATTCAAAGCAGGGCTTCACGACTGCAACATGGGTATTAAAGGTGCTTGTCCATACTCAGAGACCACCTGATGATGGTGTTTAACAATTCTGGGATTTTGCTGTGGCTGAGATCATCCTGAAGGTGAGCACAAAGGAGTGATTTATGCCAAACTCAGGTCACAACCTTCTTGCTGGGCCTTAGCTCTTGAAAACAGGATGTCTCCTCATATCTTGGCAAGAAGGACAGACACTGTCTTTCTCATCATCAATGTTGTATATTCTTAGTGTCATAAAACTTGCTTCAGGGCTTTAGAATCAGTTCTGGAGGATCCTTCCCTTTGCAGTTCAGGGAGAGGATGAACCCCAAGGAGGTGGCAGCCGTTCTTTCTCCTGTTAAAGAGAGGAGAATATGCAGACTTCCTTCTCTCTTGGCATGAAAACCAATACAAAAAGTCTAGCTCTAGGAGAGGAGCTTCAGTCTTGTGTGGCTTTTCCTTTACCCTGAAGACTGAGCCTGTGTAACCTCCACACTGGGATTTGGGCTGAATTGGATTTTTTTTTTTGGCGAGGCAATGTGGTTTAAGTGACTAGACCAGGGTCACACAGCTAGTTAAACGTTAAGTGTCTGAGGATGGATTTGAACTGAGGTCCTCTTCACTCCTTGAGCAGTGCTCTGTCCATTGCACCACCTAGCTGCCCCAATATTGTATTTTTTTAAAAGAAAAATTATTTTTAATTAATGGAGCAAAACAAACATTTCTATAACAGTACAATAAAAAAGATGATTGGACATGAAACTGCAAAAGAACAATGTACAACTTGTCCTTCCCTCCAAATATACATTATCATGTAAATTTCTCCCCCTCCCACCGTCCGTATCCCCAGAGATGGCTGGCTACCATTACACGCAAATACACACAAGTATATATATAAATTATTCTATACATACTTCTATTTATCAGTTCTTTCTCTGCTTTCCCCCCTCACTGTGTTTTACTTTTGACCACCGCCTCCTTCAGTCCCTCCTCCCTTCTACTAGCCCTTTCCCTTTTCTTCTTTCTCTGGATGCAATTAACATCTTTCTTCCTACGTCCTTTATTTTTACTTTGTATATTCGTAATAGTCAAAATGACTTAGTTGCTCGAAGTCGTTCTTAAAACAATACTGCTTTGGGAGGCGAGCCGCAGAGGAAAGGGAGGAGGCAGCGCTTGACGAGTCTGGCCGAGGCTCCGGCAGTCGGTGGCTGCGGTGGGAGGTAGCGGAAGCAGCGGCAGCAGCGGCAGCTGCAGCCCGTCAGCGGCAGTATCTTCGCGGAGCTGAAGCCGTACTGATGCCCAGAGCGGAGCGGTGGATGCAGAGGAGCCGCGCAGCGCACGCGATACTGAGGCCGTCCCTCCCCATCTGCCACTGACCTGGCCTCTTCCTAAAGGGCGAAGGACAAACTAAATGCGTCTCAGAATGATCATAAGTCTTCAAGACGGAGTGATCTGCTGCCAGAGTTGGCCGTAGGAAATGACATTCGAGGAAGACTTTAAAGAAACATTAAGAATTTTGAACCGGTTCACCTAAGGCGTCCTAAGAAAAGGCCTTCTCTATTTCAAGCCTCTCCAGTCCGTAATGGTTACATCAAGGTTCCAGTTCCACCTGTTTCAGGCACACAAAGGGAGAAAGGGCCTCCCACCATGTTACTCATCAGTGTTGACCCACAGAACAAACCAGGAGAATATGTGCTCAAGAGTCTCAACTTCACCACTCTGGCTGAGCCCAAGATTCTTATCATCATGGCAGAGCCTCTGCAAATCACTTGTGTAAAAGGCTGGCCAGCTTTTCTAAATTCAAGAATCCCTTCAGCGCTAGATTCAAAGATTTATGAGATAGCAGCAAGGATCATAGGGTAGTTCCAAGAAAGCATGGTTTTGACCAATGACTTGTTGTAATTTTTTTGGATGAGCTCTCATTAGCCAGAGTGTAACAGTGACAACAAGAAATTAGTTCTCTTTGAACTTTGAATGAAATCTGGAAGGAAGAAGAGAGCTATTTGACTTTAAAAGAAGAATAAGCAACTCACATATTCTTCTTGCTGATTAGCAGAGAGCATGGCTTTGTGAGAAAGAAGGTTTTGCTTATTTATAAGGTGCTGGAATTTGTGAGCCTTTGTGATGAAAGGCAATGCGTAAATATAAGTTCTTATTTCCAGGGCTGTTCAATGATGACTAATTTCTCTTTGTTCCTTATCCTTATTCAAGGAATAGGCTTTTGACAGGTTTCAGATGTTGTGTTGAATATATTCTATGTTATGCCACTACTAGGTCTGTTTCCAAAAATGATTAGGGGAAAGGAAAAAAAACCTACATAATTTAAAATATTTATAGCAGCTCTCTTTGTGATGGCAAAGAACAGGAAATTGCAGGAATGCCCATTAATTGGGGAATGGATGAATAAGTTATGGTATGTGCTTATGATGGAATACTACTGTGATATAAGAAATGATGAGCTTGCTTATCTTAGAAAAACGTGGACAGACTTGCATGAAATAATGAAGAGTGAAATGAGCAGAACTAAAAGAACATTGTACACAGTAACAGCAATATTGTTTTAAGAATATTAAGACTAACTCATTTTATCCATAATAAATATCCAAATCAACTTCAAAGGACCTATGAAGGAAGATGCTATGTGCTTCCAGGGAAAGAACTGATAAATGGAAGTATGTGAAGAATGATTTTACATGTTTATACATATTTATGTCTAATGGTTGATATCTCTAGGGTAAGGGGGGAGAAAAAAAGGAAAAAAAATTTGCACGATAATTTTATTACATATTTGAAAAGAATAGCAAGTTGTACATAATAGAGTTGTAGCTTTATGTGCAATCATCTTTTTTATTCTGTTATGGAAATTCTTGTTTTGTTTCATAAATTAAAAATAAAATAAAACTTAAAAAATAATATTACTTTTACTGTATACAAACTCTTGGTTCTGCTCACCTTTGCTCTTCATCATTTTAGGCAAATCTTTCCTTGCCTTTCTGAATTGGATTTTTATTCAGATCTTTTTCCAAGGTAGAATTCTGGACGTGGAGAGACACAGTTGTTTTGGTGGGTCATGACTGTTATTTTTAAACACAATCTCTCTGTCTTTGTAGGTGTTCACTCGATGGAGTTTGACGGAGATGTGACACAGCCTGGGGCATCTCTTGCTCCTCTCCTGTAAAGTTGTAAAGATTCCTGTAAAGATTCACCCTCAATGACTACTGGATGTACTGGGTCTGCCATGCTTCAGGGAAGGGGCTGGGGTGGGTCTTAGTATTAAGAATTACAGCAGTAAGAAATGCTATGCAGACTTCATGAAAGGCCAATTCACAATCTCTAGGGACAAAGGCACATCACACTGCATCTCTAAATGAATTTCATTGCTACTCAGGACAAGAGACATAGTGAAGAGAAAGAGTATGACACCATACATAAATTCCTCCTTCAGGGAGGCTTTAAGGATACTAACTTAGAGAGGGAGCTCAAAAATATGTGATGCTGAGGAGTTTACTTTCAATGTCTGTGGTTTCCTCTCTTTTTCCTGTTAACAACTTCCCCAGGGATCCTCTTGTAGTCATCCTTATTTTCTGAGAATAATAATTTCCTCTCTCCTCTCCGCCCTTGCCAAGATCATTTATGTGTTCCAAAGCTTATTTCAGTTTCTTTAAGTTTTATGTTGTCCACTGAGGCTCACATGCTTTCTGCAAGCCATGAGGTAATAGCATTACATGGCTGGTCCAGGTTCTACAGCTGAAACAGACCTTTGGGGCACCTAGTCTAGCCCCTCAAGATGAGGAAACTAAGGGAATTTAAACAATTTTCCGGCACAGTGGTAGTGAGGGTGAGAAGAAGAATTTGAACCCAAGACATCTGACTCCAGACCTAGTGCATTTCAGCTGGTCCAGACTGGGGCACAACAGTAAAATAAATTTATGGTTAACCCAAAAGAGTATTGCTCTGAATTTATTTAATTTCTTCAAAGGAAGTTGAGGGGGAAGTTATGATAAGCTACAAAGTGAATGTAATAGAAGCTCCTTTTCTTAATGCCATGGAAGTAGAAGTGGGGGGGGGTCTGATTTTTCAGGGTGACTTGAAATGAAGCAGAGTCCTTTTAATGACAAATAGTATAATAATTTCCTCAAAATATAGAAAAAAAATTGAACTATAGAAATCTAGACCATCACGAATTTGCTGGGCTAAAAATGAATTAGTGTTGTTAGGGGAGGAAGCTTGGTAAGTAGAGCTCTGCCCTATCTTTCCTTAACGGCAAATCTCCTTCCTGTTATTTCATTTTCTGCTGCATATACCAGGTGCCTATCCAGATCAAAGAGAAGCTCTTGAGAGTCAGACCCATTGGGCTGCCTAAAGGCAGGAAATGGAAAAAAAAAATATGGTAAGACAGAATAGTCAGCTTTCCTGTTACAGTTAAACCAAAATACTGACTGCTGACCACTGTATCTGCACAACTATTTCCTCCTTTTATTGTCTATATCCAAAGCACAACAGCTAAGAATTTCTTAGCTTTTCTTAATGATATGAAATTAAGATATTTATTTTATAGCTGGGCTTTAGAAGTCTGGTGTTATTGTAGTAGGGCATAGATAGGCTTGAGATTTTTATCAGGACAATGCAAGATTTTCTTTCCCTAGAGAAATTCTACTTTTGATCAACTTTGTATGACTGTATCTTTTAAAAATGTCCCTAGAGTGTTCCAACTGTCCCAAAATCAACCTAATAATTCCTTCTCTCTTTTCCCTTTACTGCCTCAAGGTAGTGTGCCCAAAGGAGCTAACATTGTCTCTTCTCACTGTTAGGGAGAATGCTGTTACTGAAATTCTTATTTATTCAAATTTAGCTCTCTCCCTTGCATGACATAGTTTGGGAAAAATTCCCACTCTGCTTCTTCTTGATATGACTTGTTCTGTGCCATGACATAATTAGCCTCACTTTCGTGATATCATCTACCCCTCTTCTGTGGTAACACTTGTGAGGGGTCGCTCTTAGCATCTAATTTGTGGTATCACATGAGAATTTTCCTGCTTTTCTTCCTGCTTGCATTACCATGATGTGTTCTTTGATCCCCAAGTACTCCACTCTTGAATGTTTAATCTCAGGGAAAAAAATTATCACTTAGGCCTTACCAATAATGTATATCTTATCTTTTTATTTTGAAATTCATCATTTATCTGGCTGAGAAGAGAGGTGTGTTTCATCTTCAGTCCTCTGGATTCATGTTGCATGTATTTTATTGACCTAATTCTAAAGTATTTCAAAATTATTTTTTTTCTACAGTGATACTGTCATTGTATACATTATTCTTCCAGTACTACTCTTCTCTGCAGCAGTTCATAGATGTTTTCCCAGTTTTCTCTAAACCTGTCCATTTCATCACTTCTTGTGCAACAATAATATTCCATTTTGTTAATATACTATGATTTGTTTAGGGTAACAGGTCCTTACTTTCCAATATGAATGTAAGTTAATATGATAATAATTTTAATTATTACTATTTCATTATGTGTATTCTTCATGCACATAATTTCTTATTGCACAGTAGCAATCTCTTATATTTATATTCCACAATTTATTAAACAATTGTTTAATTAATGGAAATCTACTTTGTTTCCATTTTTTTGCAGTTTTTATCAAAAAAGGAGCTTCTTCTTAAATGCCTGGTACTGTCCATTTTATTAAACACAGGGTTTCTCAAGTTCTCAAGTTTCGTAAGTTCCATTGTTTCTGGTTCTGCCTTGTGTAGTCTGTTCCAGTGATCTATCTCCCTGTTTTTTAAACAATACAAAGCTTTTTGATGACTATTGCTTTATCTGAGTTGTGGATATGCTATTCTTCTTTCATATCTATTTATTTTAATAATTTCCCTTGATATTATTGATCCTTTGTTTTCCAAATGAATGTTATTATTTTATGAAGGTCTATAATGTACCCCCTTGGTCACTTGATTGTGTTTAAAGTATATATTAATTTTGATAGTGTGTTTGGTCAGTTGATTCCAATATATTTTATGCATTTTGTAGTTATTTGAAATGGAATTTGTTTTCCATTGTTGCTTATTAGTTTTTGTTTTTATTTTACTATTAGCCAATACTAGATTTTCTATTTTGTTTTAATGAAAATAATTTTAGTGCAATCAGTTATCTTAAAGGAAGGAAACTTTGGACTATCTTGTGTTAACTCAGAAGGAAGTCGGTTTTACTTAGGTTTATTATTTACTTATGTTTATTATTTAGTTTGGGATAAACACCTTTGTGGAGCATGTCACAAAGTGCAAATGCTTTATAGGCAACTCATTTGGTCAACACCATTCTCTCCATTTGGAATTAATTACTTAATATATCTTCCATATCCCATTCCATTATTTTTTTTCAGTTGGAGTAAAATTAGTATCTTTAAAGTAAATTCATTTCTATGATAGTGGTCATCCAATTACAAAAACTATTGTTACCAATGTTTCAGTGTAAGGATTAAGTAATTATCAGTCTCTGATCTTGCTCAGGGGGGAGTTAGAATTAATTGGAGTTCAAGTGGAAAATTAATTGGAGTAAGTATTAAAAAAAAACAAGATCAGAAGAATATATATATAATTGAAAAGGCTTTCAGAGTTCTGTCTTCTATGATATTTAAAAAATATTTAGTTTTTTATTTCTCAGTTTTGAATTTTTTGTTATTCTACTATTTACATACAAAACAATTTTAGCATTTATTTTTTAAAATGTTGATTTCCAAATTCTCTCCCTCCCCTCATTCCTACTTTAATGAGAAGACGATGTGATATAGACTGTACATGTGAAGTCATGCGAAACTTATTTCCATATTAGTCATGTGAAAAACAAACACCCCCCAAAAAAAAACAACCTGAAGAAAAATAAACTTTAAAAAATAGGCTTTAATCTACATTGAGATTCCATTAGTTCTCTCTCTGGAGGTGGATAGCATTTTTCCTCATAAGTGCTTGGGAAGTGTCTGGTATGATTTTATTTCTGAGAATAGCTAAGTCATTCATAGCTGACTACCTTACAAGACTGCCATTACTGTAGACACTATTGTCCCAGCTCTGCTCACTTCACTTTGCAACAGTTAGTATACAGCTTCTATTCCCAAAATGCTATTTAACTGTGCATACTCTTTCATCCAGCAACACCACTACTAAGTTTGTATCCTAAATGGATATAGAAAGGGAAAGGCTCTATGTGCACAATAATATTTATATCAGCTCTTTTTGTGATGGCAAAGAAATGGGAAGTAGAGGTGATTCCCATCAACTGGAGAGTGATTGAACAAGTTGTGGTGTATGAATGTAATGGAATACTATCGTGCTGTGAGAAATAATGAGGACAATGCTTTCAGAAAAACCTGAAATAAATTTCTCTCCAGAATGTTCCAAATTCAGTTCCAAATTCTACCAAAAGTGCTTTAGTATGCCAATTTTCCCACATCCCCTCTAACATTTTTTCATTTTCCTTTTTTGTAACATTAGCCAATCTGAAAAGTATGATATAGTATATCAGAGCAGTTTTAATTAACATTTCTCTAATCAATAGTGATAAAATGAGATTTATCTTTGATTTCAAACTGCTGGTTCATATCTTTGACCTTTTACAAATTTGGGAATGACTTGTAGTTTTATAAATTTCACTCAGTTCTTTATGTATTTGACATCTGGAATTTGGTTATAACTTTTTTTGGAAATTCATTTTGGGATTTCTTTCAAGACGTGGCTGTTGGATTCTTTCCATTTATATTTTACCCCTTGGTCCTAGGATATCATAGTAGTTTTCCTCAATAATTTCTAGAAATATAACATCTAGGTTCTTCTTCTGATCTTGGCTTTCAAGTAGTCCAATAAATCTTAAGTTATCTTTCCTCTATTTATTTTCAAGGTCAGTTGTTTTTCAGATGAGATAGTTCACATTTAAAAATTTTTTCATTCTTTTGATTTTGTTGTGTTGTTTTTTGATGACTAATCCTAATTTTATTTTAAATTATTTTCTTCACTGATTTTGTACTGCTTTTTCCATTTGGCCAATTCTATTTTTTTAAATTTTTAAGCCATTGGAGTTAAGTGACTTGCCTAGGGTCACACAGCTCGTGTCAAGTGTTATGTGTCTGAGTCCAGATTTGAACTCAGGTTCTCCTGAATCTAGGGCCTGTGTTCTATCCACTGTACCACCTAGCTGCCCCTAATTCTATTTTTTAAGGAACTATTTTCTTCAGTGAATTTTTGTACATTTTTTACATTTGGCTAATTCTGCTTCAAAAAAATTCTTCTCAGTGAATTTTTATATCTATTTTTTCCCATTTTGTTAACCTGCTTTTTAAGGAGTTTTATTTCTTTATTTTTTTTAAATAAGTAAGTCCATATTGTTTTATTCCCTTAAAGTAGTAACATGTAACATGTTACATGGAGGCAGAGGTTTAACTCTGACTGCATCAAACAATTTTAGTGAGACATTTAAACCCTGACTCAGGATGTCTGTGTTAATTGATAAGCAAATGTCAGGTCCAGGATATCTGTGCTTCCTTTACCTCCATAGAATATCAAGATAAGAAAAGTCCCCTTATTCAAGGTAGTGTCTGGGTTAAAGGCACCTTAGTGGTCATAAGTAGAAGAATGCTCTTGATCAGCTTTAGCTGTTGACACAGGAAGAGGCATTCTCAGTTCACTCAGAAAGAAAAGATTGATTCAGGTTTTTGGCCCTTATTGGGGCTCAATTGATCTTAAATGATTATCATTTCCTCCTCTTGGTCAAAGGGAAGCCAAAGACTTCACCTCTAGAGCAAATAAAGGTGTGGGAAAAACCTTTTTCCTCTTTAGGTAATGGGAAGAGATGTCCACTTGGAACAGGCATCTTCAGATGATCCTGGAGTCCACAATCAGAAGTTGGCAGCTATGAGAGCAGTCACACAGATGTGATAGGGACTCTTAGAAGATGTATGTGTGGATAATTGAGAGAAAACAGCATAACGTAAGTCCTTAGTTAAAGGGACATAAAGATGGTTCAGTTTCCCAGCCATACAGGGCTAGGTTCAAACAATACAACAAAGTTTTTCTCACAGTTCACAAAGTTGCATAATTACATCAAGTCAGGTACAGATTAAATTACTCAGAGGGCTCACAATAGAGGAGTTTTGAGAAGGGAGATTTACCTATCACCAAGATAACCAAGAAAACCTTAAACATGAACCATACAAATCAATACAATCATTATTACCAGTGTTAACTAACATTAAGTTCCTTGCTCATGTACAATAGGTTTTATTCTTAGGCATTGCAAAAAGGAAGTTCTGCTTCTCTGATTTAGACCTAGAAGCTCCCAGATAATTCCAACTTAGTAAAAATTAGTACAATCGCCCAATTTGGATCTCCATTTTTGATATCATCTGCTGCTTCTGTTCTTACCTAAATCCTGTACCTGGTATAAGAATTTTTTGAAACGTGAGGGTCCAACCATAAAATGAGCTCTCCTGACTTTTAAAATTACCAGACAGATACTTTAATAGTGGAAAAATAATTTCACTTACTTTTACCACTATCCTATACAATTTTGGTATAAAAATATAAATTTGAGATCTTATTACCTAAATATACTTAAAGCTTGGATTTCCAGGATAGATACATTTTGGAATCCAATCATATACATCTGTATATAATTCTTAGAGGAATCAGTCTAATCCTGTTGCTTTTCTCAAAATTTGCTATCCCATGTAGATATCTAGTGCATTACATTTTTGTTTTATTTTGTCTAATTATTTCCTCCTTAGGAGGATGTTATCCCTATATTATCACCATTTGGCCATGAATGTAAATTAAATTTGTAAGCTATTCTTACTTGCATCCTATTATGGTAACTCAGAGATATTCTAGTATCCATCTATTATTTAATAAATTTAGTACTGTACTTACAGAACTTCTTGATTATAGAAATTTGCTATAAAAGAAAAGGAGGGACAATGTCATACATCACATCAGAAGGAAAGAACTTCCTTATCTCTGTTTGATTCCAGGCATGAATCACATCTGATAGCCAATCATGTAGTCACTGGATGTTAAAAGCAGTGCTCAGGATTAATCAGGTGGGGAATTTTCCTTTTCAGAAAGGAAATAGCACAATTGAGAAATAGAATCAGGAAGATCCTACCTAAGCTGTGTCCAAGGTCATCCTCAAAACTCTTCCTAGGCACAGAAATCCACCTTTGTCAGTTCTCAGCCTGCAGCACATGCCATTCTACTATTAGTTTCATGACAACTTAGACAACTAGCCCTGTAATCAAAGCCCAAAACAATAGTAAATTGCTGTCCCATAAAGACACATATCCTAGATAATAAGAATTTAAATCTCACATTGGTAACAGTAAGACATTGATCACAGAAAAATACAACTTCTCTCATAATTCCATTAAACAATGGGAACATCTTAAGGTGAGTCTTCAGAAGTTTTTTTAAATTTTTGCACATGTTCTAATTCCAGATTAAAAAGAATATTAGATTTCCCATTGAGTTAACACAAAAGAGCTCATAACTTCCTACTCTTACAGTAACATAACTATCTGTACTAGAATCCTTTCCCAGTTCAAACAAAGCAAAGAAGTTCCTGACTAATCTCAGAAATTGATGAATTTATTTTCTTCTTCACAAGCTTCTCTAATTATACTCATTCTGGAAGAATAGGACACTTCAGGATTTGAATCATATACATTTGGCCAATTCTTCTTTAAAAAAAAAATTCTTCTCAGTGAATTTGCATATATCTTTTTCCCATTTGGCTAATCTGCCTTTTAAGGAGTTTTCCACAGCAGATTTTTATGCCTGTTTTACATATTCTGATTTTTAATATGCTATTATTTTGGGGGGGGGTTGTGTCTCTTTCACCACACTGTTAATTCCCTTTTCATAATTTTCTTCCATCACTCTCACTTCATTTCCCAATTTCCTCCTACTTCTCTTATTTGATTTTTCAATTGTTTTTGAGCTCTTTCTGGAATTCTCTTTGGGCTGGAGAACAATTCATATTTGCTATTTTGATTTTCTTGTCTTCTGAGTATGTGCTTTGAACTTCTCTGTTATTATATTAACTTTCTATGGTTGAGTTCTTTTTTGTTTTTGTTTGTTCATTTTTTCCAGACTATTTCTTGACTTTTAATATTATTTTAAAGTTGGGGTCTATTCCTGGGGTAAAGGGGGCTCTATTCTAAGCTTTAGGCATTTTCTTCTGTTGCTTTCAGAGCTAGTTCTTGGAGTTTTAAAGATGGTATCTCCTGTCCTGCTCTCTGAAGTTTTAAGTGAGCTACAGGTTCCTGATGTACTTTTTATAGTTCTATTGTTAAGATCTTACATAAAACCAAAAGATTTGAGCTAATTTTTTTTGGGGGGGCTAAGCAATGGGGTTAAGTGACTTGCTCATGGTCAATACTAGTGGGTGCTTTGGGTCTGAGGCCACATTTGAACTCAGGTCTTCCTCAGTCCAGGGCTGTTGCTCTATCCACTGTGTCACCTAGCTTGCTTTTGAGCTAATTTTCATCAAGTGAACTAGTTATTGGGGAAGCAAAATTTAAGATGGTGTCTTAAATTGGATTAAGATCTACTTTGCAAAAGATTTCTGCAAGAGCATCTAAGATCGTATAAGAGACGTGGAACCAGAGAAACAAATCTGAAGAGGAGCTTTCAGAGATGCCCTGAGAAAGAGAATTATTCCAGAATGTGGTAGAGAAAGAAGTTTTCAAGTGTCAGACATTACTAGTTCTATACTTAGAAAGCAAGATACTTCCCAACAATACTAGCTCTTGTTCTGGGAAAGAGTTCCACAAACCATCTCAAAGGATGCCAGTTAATGGGCACCTAAATGACTTTCCAATGATGTATGGAGCCCTCTGAGGGGTCAAAGATCTTGTGGATAAGGCAGCTCTGCTCCAGGAAAGGAATAAAGAAGGGCTTGAGAAGATTAGTCAGAACTTTATCCCCAAACACTCTATTCTTATTAGGTCAACTTTCTTGGAGATTAGATCCAAGGAATCACCAGACAAGGGATTTCCTTTCTGCTTTCCAGGGTAGAATAGACTTGTTATGGACTTAGCTTCCAGGAAGTTGCTCACTGATTTGGGTAATCAGATGTGAATGATACAACTGTTCACCAGTACAGGCAACTCCCTTAACTAAGGTGGGAAGAGTTCCATTTTGGCAGTTGGGGACAGGTTGGGGACTACTTGGGTTTAGAATAGCTCCCTAATCTTTAATAAGGGGGAACATATGGTACACTACCCAGCACAACATGTTACCACTTGAAAGTTTACATTGACGCTGGGTCCACCCAACCCTGCTACTCTTGTAACCCCAGCCTGGTTGATTATTTAACATGTGATTCAAATTGGTGCCTCACAAATAACCATATTCAATGGGTGTTCAGCAGAATTCCTCCATTATTCTGGACACCAAGGTAGAGAGCCTTTGATTGCTCAGTCTTGTTCTCTCCAGGCCCCAGCCAACTTGAACTGATTCAAAGCCGCTGCCTAGGAATGGTATATATGAAGATCTTCTCTTCTCCATCCCTTTAGGGAGAACATTTAGGTTCTTTCACATGCCAGTCATGCAGCATGCAGTTCAACCAACTGGAAGGACTAGTCAGTATCTCTACTCCCTAGGGTGGTATTTCTTATCAGATTAGCGGTTGTCAAAAACCAATTGCATATGCCTGTCTTGTAGTGAAAGGAGTCATCAGATAACCAGGCAAATTGGCATTCCTCAGGAGCCAGGTCTTTACAGGTTCATTTGACCATTTGGTCAAGGGAAGAGTCTGGGTTCTAGGATCTGGACTGGAAGCTTCAGTCCCCAGAACAGTCAGTGCCTGTTTTTGAAGCACACTAATACCAGAGGGACCCAGGCAAGTGAGATTTCTAATGTATCATTTCCATTTATCAAGAAAAGCTTCCTGTGCTCTATCCATATTCCTGGAAGGACCATCTTACATTACCCAATCAGTAATAGTCAACTGTGGACAAAATGTGATTCCATCACTGTGTCATCTGTTCAGTGGCAACTGGGGCGAGGCCCATCTAAAATCATCCTGATCTATATCTTGCCACTGGACCCAGATGACTCTGGAGGAGAAAGCAAGGCTGGTGACTTTGCACAGCCCTTCCTCACTTAAATTCAATTCGCTTGTAAGTAATGGCGTCACCTTCCTGATGTCATGGTCCCCTTTGAGAATGAAGGAGAAACAACAACAACAACAACCTAGTCTTAATCACTGAATGGGCATTGCTTCAGTCAAATTGAGGCCTGGGAAAGACTTTAGCTCAAAAAGGCCAAGGTCTCACATTGCATCTGGTGCCATGTGTAGTCATACCTATCTATTTCTTGCCACCGACCCTAAAAGGCTCTATAGGAGAAAGTGAGGCTGTTGACCTTGCACAGTCCTGCCTCGCTTAAATCCAATTCACCTGTAAGTAATGGCATCACCTTCCTGTTGTCACGGTACCCTTTGAGAATGAAGGACAAACAATAACAGAAACTAGGGCACAGTAAAATGCAAGCAACTACTTTTCAAAAGCAGCTGCTTAGGGAGCCTGGAGCTTCAAGTCTCTAAAAATAGTTTATTTTGGCTATCTCTTGGTATCTGCCAGTTTCCATCCACCCATTCTGATCTTTAGGAAAGGAGACCTCCAGAAACAGGGATCTTTCTGTGTTGCAAGGTTTCAAAAGGAAGAGCATACTAGAAACTGTGCTTTACACCTCCCAGGATCATAGCCTGTTCTAAGCCCTACTTGAAAAATGCTGACTTATGTGCAATTCAATAAATTCAGACCATCCTTCTCTAGGTACTGAATGTGCTGGCCTAGTTTATTATATTTCTTTATCCTTCTTTTTCCTTTATTCTTAAAGCCTATTGAAATAAAATAAAACCACCTATTAACCTTTGTCTTATTTCACTCACCCTCTGATTTTAGAAGATACTACAGGGGCACCTAGGTGGCATAGTGGATAAAGCATCAGCTCTGGATTCAGGAGGAACTGAGTTCAAATCCAGCCTTAGAATATAACATTTACTAGCTGTGTGACCTTGGGCAAGTCACTTAACCCTATTGCCTAGTCCAAAAAAAAAAAAACAAGAAAAAGAAAAAGAGGATACTAAGATCTTGTTGGGACTAATTTGTTCTGTTCTTATTAGAGCATATATATATATATATTTTTTATCATCATAATGTCCCTTCCCTATCACACATAGTTATCTTTTCATGTCTTGCTTTCTCTGTAATTCAAACTTCCTCCCCCCTCTCCCCAGTGCACAGGTCTTTTCATTACGCATACTTGATTCTATTCTAATAAAAGTCCATTTTGTTTTGGCATAACTACAGTATTTTGCTGAGTAAATTATTCTCGGTTGTGAACCTTTGCTTTTGCCTTTTATAAAAACATATTTCAAGATGTACTTATTTTTATGGTGAAGGTTCTCGAGTCTTCTGTGGACTTGCTGTGGCTCCTTAGTGCCATTGGACCCTATTTTCTGGCTGCTTACTGTGTTTTTGCTTTGACCAGACATTCTGAAGTAAAGTCATAACTTTCATTTTGACAGTGTCTTTCAAGAGCTGTCCAGTGGATTATTTCTATTTTGACTTTGCCCTCTTCTTCTAATAGGTCTGATGAGTTCATTTATGACGTCTGGAAATATGATATCCATGTATTGTTTTGCTTTTTTTCTTTCTCATGGGTTTTAGGAAATCATGGGCAATTAATATGAAATAAGGAATGGAGAAGAGATAATATTTGTAAAAAGTAGTCAGCATAGTTACTAGAACATAGTAGGTACTGTAGAAATGCCTACTACCTTCCCCTCCTTCCTTCTCTTCCCTTCTCCTTATATCACAAATATGAATAGAAAGATTAAACAAAGATAAACTACTTACATTCACATATGGGGAGATTGTGTCCCTATGGAAGAAATTTCATTAGACAGAAGGTGAGAGTGGTTCTGTTATGTCTTATTGATCCTAAGAGAAGAATGGAGAGAGGAAGAAGAATATTCACACAAGGGAGAAAGGAAAAGAAAGGTTGGGGAAAATTATGTCATATAATCAGGGTGCACAGGTAAAGATTTATATAAATAAAACCACCTGTTGGAAGGGAGTAGCTGACACCTGTACCTCATTCTTATATGAACTGTCTAAAATAAGAGAAGAAAACTCATACACACACTGAACTGAGAACAAAAATTTTTAGTTATTTTAGTCATGTCTGACTCTTCATGACCTCATTTGGGGTTTTCTTGGCAAAGATAAAAGCATAGTTCGACATTTCTTCCTCCAACTTGTTTTTCAGATGAGGTGAACAGGAGTGACTTACCTAATGATCATACATCTAGTAGCTGTCTGAAGCAGGATTTGAACTCAGGTTTTTTTGACTCCAGGCCCAGGGTTCTCTACACTATGATGCCTATTTCAACAGGAAAATAGGAGAAAGGGGGGTGAAAAGGAAGAAGCACAAATTAATGGGAGGGTAGATTAAAGGAAGAATTAGTTCTAAGCAAGTCTCAAAGAATGGGAATCTGAGGGAGTGACTCATAAATTGAGAAATGACTGAACAAGTTATAGTGTATAAATGTGATGTAATGAAACTGTTACAGAGTGAAGTGATAAGAAGCAGAAGAGCAACTTATACAGTGACAACAATATAATGAAGACAAACAATATAAAAAAAGTAGGAATTTTGTTCATGGTAATTATCACCAACCATGATAATTTCAGATAGCTAATTATGAAACATACCATCCACCTAGTGACAGTGAGGTGAAGGACTAGGATGCAGATTACAGGTGACTCCAAGAGAGGAGCCACTTATCCAACAGCTACAATTCACAACTTGTTCTTTCAAAGTTTTAAGGATAACCCTGGTAAGGGAGTCCTACAACTCAGTATTATGTCTCTTGAGCCCCCACAGTTGTGATTTGCATAAAATCATACACAGTGACACCATTGAATAAAACATTTGTGATTTCTTATGATGATATATTAGGAGCACACACATTATATATGCAAAATAGAGCAAACAAAGAGGATTGTGTATAAATTTGTAGATCTCTTTTCCATTCTTTTAAAAAATATAGTCAGTGTAACACATTACTTTCCAAATTGCCTTGCTTGTCTCTGCTTCTTTATGAACTTCACATTTTTACCGTTTCAATAACCTTCTTTTTTTACTTTTCCTTTTTTTGAATCATCATAATTATTCCCTCCTTCCTTCCCCTAACAGAAATCCCCTGTAACACCTAAACATATTCAAGCTAAACAAATTCACACTGTGACTATGTGCAAAATTGTGACTCCTTCCATGCCTTGAGTCCATCTGCTCTCTGTCAGGATGTAGAGAATATGCTTCAAACACATCTCAGAAGAAGAACTGCAACGCATTCATAATCATATGAAAAAATGTTCCAAGTCACTGAAAAGGAGAGAAATGAAAATAAAAAGAGTTCTAAGGTTTTATTTCACATTCTAAAAACTGGCAAAAATGACAAAATCTGGCAATAGTTAATGCTAGAGAGATTGTGGAAAGATAGGTTCACTAATGTTCATTAGTATTAAGTGGAGGTACAGAATGTTGTAACCATTTCAGAAAGCAGTTTGGGATCATACAGATAGTGACTAAAACGTCCATACCTTTTGAACCAGGGAATGCATTACTAGGCTTATGCACCAAGGAATCCATTGATAAGAAGAAAGCCTCTATATACGCAAAAATATTTATAGCAGCTTTTTTTGTGATACCTAAGAATTGGAAAAAAACCAGATGCCCATCAATTGGTAAATGATTAAACAAATTGTGGTTCATGAATACTACTAAGCTGTAAGAAATGATAGATCTACATGAATTTATGCAGAGTGAAGTAAACAAAGCCCCTTAATCCCCAGTATAAACAGTAACACCAATTTAAATGGAACAATGATACACCAAAAAATAAAAGGTGAATCTTATAAAATTACAAAGATGCAAGTGGGACTGAAATGAAGAGTTATGAGAAGACATCCCCAAGCTATTCCTTTTAGGATGTGAGAGGTCCACAGGTCTTACATATTGCACATCGCATGATTTGGAACTATCTCAAAGTAACAGTTGTACTGATTTGTTTTTTTCTCTTGAAACAATAAACCTATTTGTTGTATGTTCTTGTCATAATGGCTCTTGAAGAGGGGTAAAGGGGTGGGTACATGGGATACCATGGCGAAGTATGAAACAAAAAATATCAATAGTTTTTTTTAATTGTTATTTCAATAATCTATTTTTTTCTTTTGTTTACCTAAGTCTTTTATATTTTTGGTAAATATTTATCCATTTCCTCGAACTTGTAAATTTTATCAAATTTTAGTTATAGTAGTTCCTACAAATTTTCTGTATTTCTTTTTCAACTGTGGTAAATTCTCCTTTTTCATTTTGTCATGTGTAATAGAGTTCGCTCTTTTTCAGATTAGCTAACATTTTTTTCTTTTAAAAAAAGCTACTACTTTGGGGCAGCTAGGTGGTGCAGTGGATAGAGCACCAGCCCTGAAATCAGGAGGACCTGAGTTCAAATCTGGCCTCAGACCAAACACTTGACACTTACTAGCTGTGTGACCCTGGGCAAGTCACTTAACCCGAATTGCCTAAAAAAAAAAAAGCTACTAATTTGGCTTATAAGTTTAATGATTATTTTGTTTTTAGTTTTGTTGATTTTCAGAATTTCAACTTGATGATTTTTAATTTATTGTTTTTCAAGTTTTATTGTTCTTGTATGACTGATTAATTGACTTGTTCTTCCTGTCCTTTGTTAATGAATGCATTTAGAGATATAAAATTTGCTCTAAGAAAATGCCACCATCTTTCCTTACAACAATTCTCTACGATGGGCAGTTTTTTCTTTGGATAACCTATTTTTCAAGCCTTTGTCCTTGAGTAGAGGCTTTGTTTCAGAGTCAAGCTCTGCTTTTTGCTTTATTTTTTTCGACAGACGATCAGCCCTGCTTGGCCTTGAAGTGTCATCTGTATTTCCATGTTAACCACTTTCTGAAATAAGGCCCTCCTGAATAATTTAGAATGCTAGATGCGCTCTGTGCGATCTCCTGACATTGAAGATGTCAAAGATGTCAAGGCCAGGGGAGTTTCAGTTTGTGCTATGGAAAAAGCATGTGCACTGCAGTGATGGCTGTTGATATGGTTACTTCCAAATCTACACAGTGCATTTATGAATATCCTGTGAAATTTCTGGTAAAGCCCTTTGCTCTCATCTTGTGCAGATATGGAGCCTTGCAAGTTATTCATGTGTCTGGAGATTCTCTGGCTGTACTAGACTATCATCTGAGTGGGAACATTGGTATTTCTGGGGCCAATTCTTTCCTAAGGCCTTCTAATCTTCAGACTCATTTTTTTTGGCTGGGCAATGGGGAACAAGTGACTTTCCCAGGGTCAAACAGCTGGTAAGTGTTATGTGTCTGACATCAGATTTGAACTTAGGTCCTCCTGAATCCAGGGCCAGTGCTCTTTCCACTGCACCATCTAGCTGCCCCTTCAGACTTATTTTTAAAGTAGTCTGAGGATAGGTGAAAGAACTTAGTATATTTTTTTGAGTGTTTTATCCTTATTCAGTCTCATACTGTTGTTTAAATATCTTTTCTAAAGCACATGTATGAGACCTACATTACTTTGAAACTTTCACACTCATTTTAATCAGGTCTATTCTTCTAAAATATTTAATTACCAAGATCTAAAGGACAGTATATCAGAAACATATTTTATGTTGGAGAACTTCTTTGAGTAGAATCCTGAACAAACATTGAAACTAAATTCAGTTAGTCAATCAATTGGCACCCATTTACTAAGCACCTATAATATGCCAGTAGTGAGGTGCTCGGGATATAAAGACAAAATGAAAAATCCCTACTCTTAAATACTTACATTCTTTTGTGGGAAAATAAATGCATAAATAAGTATATACAGACTGTATGAAAATAAATAGAAGGCAAATCTGGGGTGGAGGGCACTAGCAAATGGAGGGAAACAGGAAAGGCTTCATATAGAGAATGGCGCTTGAGATGAATTTAGAAGGAATCAAATAAAAGGAAACGTAGATTAAGAGTAATGGTGTTCCAAGCACAGGGAACACCCATTGTAAGGGTGAGGAAACCAGAGAATGAGTAACATTTAGAAGGAGCAGAGGAGAGGCTAGTTTAACTAGACTATAGAGTTCAATGAGAAGACTAGCATATGATAAAGTTGCAAAGGTAATTTGGGGCTTGTTTCAGAAAAAAATTAACAGCATAGATTAAAGCTTATATTAGATCTTAGAGATAACAGGGAGAAACTGGGTTTCGTTAAGTATGGTAGTGGTATGGATAGACACAACTTTGGCAGCCATATGAAGAGAAATTTAGGTAGATGACCTGAGTGAGAAGGTCAGAAAACAGATTACAAAAGGTTGAGAAGCACCTTAAAGGAAGTCATCAAGTGTATACTTTTCCTAGGACTTAGTGAAAAGGAAAAGTTCTAAAGATAGCTTCAAAATAACATAGGGTCAGTGAGCCTTTTTAAGCTTGGGAGACCAAGATATATTTTGTAGGAACAGAAATTTAACTGTATTCCATAAGCTGCTTTGAAGTGTTCTTTTTTCCTATATGTTATGTAGCAATGGCAGAAGAATGCAAAAGTAAGGCCTGAACCAAGGGGAAGAAAAAACAAGAGACAGACTGACCCAGTTCAACCTTTACAATACACAAAATTCCAGCATCTGAAAGGCCAATTGGAGAATAAATTGTATTTTTGACAGCATTCTGATGGTCCCTGATGAGAACTTCCCCAAAAGTAAAGAATTACTGTAAAGTGGAGATAAGACAGAAGCATGTTGTCTCTGCTGATATTGCTGTGTACCATAGGTAGCAGCAGACTAGGGTGCTCTGGGAGGGTTGGTCCCCCCAGGCTGAGGCTCAGCCTATACCTTTTCCCAGATACTCCAGAAGATATACACATTCCCCAGAGGATATGGTGTCACTGTCTCACCACACACAAAGAGTTCTTCTGAGAAACAAAGCATAGGGCATTTGGGAGGATCCAAGAAATTCAGTGAGCTTTATTATGCCCTGTCCATTCTGTGCCTCAATTCTTTCAGCTCAAATTGGTATATGAGCTTGAGTGTGCTGGTAAGTTCTTTAACAAGCAGTTCCCATGGGAGAAAAATGTATCAATGATACACTTTTGTTTAATCTACATTATCAACATTTTCTCTCTCCCTTTGTTAAGTCTAAACAATTAAGAAAACCAATTAAAGTCAAGCCCTGATTTTCAATGGCTGCTGATTTCTTAAGTACGAATGCTCACATCGAAAACTTCACAATGACCTCTCTCACGCCAACATATCGTACCCTGGATATGACAGACCATGAAGAAGATTGGGGATGAATAATCTACATGCAATCCAGTTCCAAAGAGAATGAGCAAAAACTAACCCTATAAGCAAGCAGAGATGTCAGGAGGAGGCTCAGAAATACCACCTTATCCCCCAATGCCCACCAAAACAAAACAAAACAAAATCCAGAATCCCTGAGGTAAATCCAATACCTACTGAAGATAAATAATGACAAAAGTTTGGGGTGACTTACTAATTAGAAATGACCTTGGGATAAGCTAGGAAAATGTCAGTGACATAGAAAAGAGTAATGAGCATTCTTTTCTTACTGAGAGTAAATTGGAGTGATAGAGGATAGATACTGAGTCCTTACCAATGGTATTTAGATTCTCAGTGTCGCTAAACTTCCCCAGTGTATTAGAACTAATTCTGGAGGAAATCTTTATGAAGCTCGGGGTCGGCGGGGGTGGGGGACGGTGGGGGAGTGGGGTGGGGAGACACACTTATCTCACTAAACAGAGAAAGACACCCAAACTGGGCTTCTCCCTCTAGGGATGAAAACCAGCAAAAACCTGTGTCTGCAGCTCTGGGAGAAGAGCTTTTCATCTGTGTGGCCTTTGTCTCCTAAGAACTGACACTGTCAAGCCTGAACAATGGGTTTGGGACTGACTGGAATTTTCATTCTGACTATTTTACAAGGTAGTTTTGTCTTTTGTTTGTTTTTTGATCAAGGATACACTCTTTGAACACCTGACCGTTTCCTCTGTGGCCTCTGCCTTTATAAACCCAAGCTGTACTCCTGATCAGGGCTGCTTGATCTGGGTGTTTACCCCTTGCAGCCTTGCCCTAATAAATCCACATTTCAAATTGTGTCTGGGTCTCGCTCGCTGATTTTTGGTACAACATTTTAGAGGCCCCAGCAAGATTGCAGCATGCTGTATTGCTGTGGAGACCCACCTGGGGAGGACTTCGGCCTCAGGAAGGGGGAATTGACCTGTTCTGACTTTTAGGGGTGCTGGCCTCTGAAGATGTTCCAGGGCCCTGAAATTCAGAACTGAAAAATACCTTCCCTCCCTGACTCAGATTGTACCTCGTTTCGGCCCCATGGATCCTGGACTTGGTAAACCTCCAGAGGTAAGTGTCTGCAGACTTATGTTTCCTGGTGGAGAATGACTGTATGACGGGGCAGTAGTGCTTAGCGCCTCAATCTCCTGGGCACCCCAAGACATCGGGACCATGCCCGTATCTGGTTCCTGGTTTCTGGTTTCTGTCTTAGTTGTATTGGTCTATTAGTTTATATGTATAGAGATTGTGTTTCTAAGAGGTTCTGTTTCATGATCATGTGTCTGAAGCCCCCCCCCACTTCGTACTATAAGGCAGCTGTCAGGCTGGATC